GGTGATGATGATGATGATGGTGATGATGATGATGATGGTGATGATGATGATGATGATGATGATGATGATGATGATGATGATGACGACGATGACGACGACGATGATGTCTCATTGGAATGAAACAAAATCGTGGTTGCTGGGGACTGGAGCAAGTTTTTTTTTCAGATGCATGAAATGACAAACTTACTGGGTGTCTTTGTTTTGCTCCCCTGGTTTGAGGCTTGGAATGTTGAATAAACACCAGCCAACTGGATTAATTCAGTAAACCATGATTCAATTAACCATGTATTACTGTGCTGTAAGATCATGGTCTGTGGCTTTTTCAATTAATGATCCTAATGGCTGCATTTCCACTATGTGAAAGTTTAATTAACCTTGGCTCGCTTTTTGCATGTAACATGTTGTGTGAACCAAGGCCATTTGGTTAGTTTATGGTTCAATGCACTGTGCAAATGCAGAACTGGTTAATTTAATCATCAGATTAAGTGAGTTGAGTGAATACAGTCACTGTATTCCTTCATTCTGGAGAACAATCTCAATAGATTTGCCCTCCTTCTGTAGATTTTGGTGTATTTAAAAAGATCCATGCTGAGTAGCCTCTGATAGCTTCTCTCTGCCCCATTTTACCAGGTCGAACAAGTATCAGAAGACAGATTAATTTCCCAGGAGGATGACTGGGAAGTGGACAGAAGAAAAGAAAACACGGTAGCTATTTTGGAACAGGGTGAAAAGAATTACATTACAGAGGAGTGCAGGTTACGCTAATGGGGAGTGTGAAAAAGGATGTGTCATGGAATGATAAAGTGAAAAAGCATCAGAAAAAAGTGGGCATATGGGAAAATATGGCAAATGGTTCCACACTAAGCATGGAATTAAACAAAGATGCATGATGTTCCCTTACTTCTTTAATATATATTAATGGATAAAGAGATAAGGAATGTTGCTGTGATATTAGAGATGTGGTGGTTGAGGATGTGAATTTATTGTTTTAGTTGTGATGCACGTTTTCCCCTATTATGTGATGTTCTGCTTGAAGTATTGAACTGGTTTCAATTGTATACCACCCAGAGTTGGTTTTGGGCTGGAGAAGCCTTATAAACTGAAATTGCAAATAAATAAGTAAGCATTCAAGACTAGGCTGTGTTGCTGGCTGAGAACATAAACGATTTGCATCAAATGGCTGGTGCCTCGGGGTTGGCTGGCATCTTGAGGATACTCTCTTTGTCTCTTAACTCTGTTCTGTGGTGTTTAACTTTGTTTTGTAGTTTTTAAACTGTTTTTATGCTTCTTATTCGTGAGCCACCTAGATAGTGAGATGGGCGGCGTATAAATGTTATTTGTAAAAAAAATGTTAGATAGATATGATGCAACAAGGAGTAGGGATCTGCAAATTACTATAACGATGACTGAAGTAGCTGTATTTGACAGGGAAAATGGAGTAAATGGTTGGAAGTGATCTTTAAAAGGTGAAAAACCAGAGCAAGTAGATGTATCTGTGCACTTAGGGTAGAATCCTTACTATAAATATGGGAAAATGGGAGAAGAAAATTTAAGATGAGCAAAGGCTGGTAGGAAAGTAATGGGTAGGAGGCAGTCTTTTGAGAGGAATCAAAGTTTGTTGGAACAAATGAAAATAATTGTGTATAAGTGCAGGTTTATTTATGGAAGGGAGAGTTAGGTATGTCAAGAGAAACATAGAAATAAGTTGCATGTAGTGGGAATGGGGTGATTAAGAAATGTGTGTGGTTAAAAAAAAAAGAGTCAAAAATGAACGGGGGCTGAATGAATGTGGACTGAATGCAAAAGTGAGAAACCGGGGCCAAATTCCTTTGGTCATGATAAGGCGGGAATGATGAATGAGGATCAGATTGCAGAAGAAACATTCAGTGTGAAGGAAGAGCGAGTGGGCTGAGAAAGACCAAGGAAGTTGTGGCTGGAGGGAATGGATGACATTCTCGACAAGAGAGTGGTGAGAAATTTACAGAATAAAAGGCATATATGAAGCCGCCTATGGGTGGAATCGTCTCGGAGAAGGGCCCAGGAGGTGGTCCAGGGGGACGCAGGGTATGCTCAGAAACACGCATCGCGACCCACATAAAAGGTGGGTGGCAGCTGCCATCTCGACTTAGTTTTAGCCATACCCTGCAGACCCCCCTGAGCGGTTGCTAAGATTCAGCCCCAACTCGATGGTGCATAATTGATGGACGTGATGAAACCAGAATGGTTTGCAAGGACAGGAAGCCGTGGAGAAGGCTGGTGGAGAAAAGTACTGTAAAGAAAAGTGATAAGTGAATAAGTAAGAAATAAAAGAGACAAGAATGAACAAAGAAAAGAAAAAGGGAATTTAAGGAAGCGGCTTCCGATCTGCTTTACAGCAGTTATCAGTGCATTTATATTTTATCCTCTCTCTCTAAGGTGACATCGTCGGCTCCCTTCTTTCCACAGTCTACCCTTTGATCATCAAATCCGTCGATCACAAGTTCATTTTTTTCCGTTTTCAGCGGTCACTGACAAATCTAGTCATTGTCTTTCCCCTAATCAAGCAAGTCAACGTTGCCATCTCAGCAACGTCTGTCATCTTCACCAGCCACTCCTCCGTCGTGGGTATTTCAGAGTCCTTCCACCTTAGTGCATATAAGAATCTCACTGCAGTTACCATGTACCCAAACATAGATTCTAGCTGTCGATCTATTAGTGCAACCACACAGATAGATTTTCTCCAGGGGGATCTGTCCCCAGCCTGGTCCTTCAGATTTTCCAACGGCGCTCCCACCACCCCTGTAACTGAGTCCATCCCTCTGGCTGCCGGTCGTCCTCTTCTTCTCTTTCCTTCCACCTTTCCCAGCATCAGAGCCTTCCCCAGAGAGCCTTCATGTTGATTGATTATGTGCCATCAAGTTGATGTCCACTCTTAGTGACCACATAGATCAGTGTTTCTCAACCTTGGCGACTTTGAGATGCGTGGACTTCAACTCCCAGAATTCCCCAGCCAGCAGGGCTGGCTGGGGAATT